TGTGTGTGTGTGTGTGTGTGCATGTGCACCTATCATGTTCCTCTTCCAGCCAATTCCAATATCTTTAAAAAGTTGAAAATACCTGATGTAACACTGGTGTGCTCAGGAAAATTGAGTAGAAGGATACTGACTGCCCCAGTTTGACTGCTTTACTTCCTGGACCTGGTTATCTTGATAGCATAGTGCACTTGCAGGCAAAGGACCTGCACCTCCAGCCCTCTCTGTGCTGCCTGTGGGCTGTTACTGTAGTATGATGGGGGAGTTTCCAGAAGTGCTCCTCAGGCTAAAGCCATCCCATCTGTTTTGGTCTGCATGTACACAAATACTTGTGAGAGATGAAGTAGCAGCCTGCTGTGCAGAATAGTAATGCACGCTAAGGGAGAACCAATATTTTGTTCTACATTATGGTGCATACAGTGAAGGCATAACTCTTTCTCCCTTTCTTTTTGTGGGACAATGTGAGGAGATTGCGTGAGAGTCTGCAGCTCCTTCTGGCTGGGATGAAAAGGCACAAGGATGAGGCTTATCAGGAATTCTTGTGGGAGCTGAAAACAACCCCTTTCAGTGCTTTTTTTTTTTTCCTTCCAATAGCCCTTTCTGAGGCTACTCACCAGCAAGCTTAATTCTACATCATTATTTCAGCTGATGCAGATGACACCTGCTATCTAGATTAGCTTGTTCCATTTAACTTCCAATTGCCTTAATGCTTACAATTACCTTAACAAACAAAAGTCAGGTGTGCAGTGCTTCTGCAGTACTTGTGGAGAGGAGAGCTGAGCAGCTGCCTCTTAAAGGTGGGGAGTTCTTTTGATTAATCTCTTCCAAAAGCTGTATTACCTTACAAAATAAGCTAGGAATTTCTAACTGTCCCACTTGACTATTTTGGTAGCTAATGTTTAGTGAACTGACCTCACATCTCTCCTTCTTTAAAGATGCAGTTTTATTCATCGCTGTTTGAGCATTCTGCTCCTTGTCTGCACTGCCTTCCAGGCCCAGCACTCCCTGTTGTTTTTATTCACAACTATCTGCAACCAAGCGGAAGTTTTGTGTTGACAGGCAAAGATGATATGCTGATGTTAAGAATTGCAGGACAGCTGATATGTTGAAACTGTATCTCACTTGCCCTTAAGGTTTTTCTTTATATTAGATTATTAAAATGCTACATATATAGGGGTGTTGTTTCAAAGTGGGCGACTTGTTATAAACTAATCATACACAACTGTGTTTATCTAAATGATATCTTCAGCAGTGGTATTTGAAAATACAAATAATAGATGGGTTTAGTGAAGGTACTTCATGCTTGTCTTGGTTATCTACTAATTTTTAACATTTGGATGTGCAGCTGGAGCTTAAAAGGATTTCCTGCATGCGATGTCACACAAGCAATGAGTGGTGATTACAAGGCTATATATAACAGCACAGTGTTTCTCCAGAAAGTTCCAACGAATGCACATCTTTCCTCATACCTGGGCAAGTCCAGGCATGGAGATGTTGCATTATGTGCATGTCAACAGTAGCAAAAATTGGTCTTTATTGCAAGTAATGACAAATCAGAAGGAAATAACTTATTTTGAAGCTCAGATACCAGAATTCAAGATTTGCAGCTTTAAAAGTAGGAGAAATAGAAGTTTTCAAAATTAACTGTGTTCTGGACCCAGATGGCTTTTTGAGCTGTATCAGCATCTGATTTGATAGTACTTCTTACATTATTATTTTAATGCTGATCTTATTTGCCCATGTTAGTGTCTCTCGCTTAAAGGACCTGAATACCATTGCACTGTATGATCATGAAGTGAACTGCACTGCTAGAAAACTTCCTGTAATGTTAGCTGAGGTCCTGAAACATGTGGCATTTTATCCCTTATGCATTATTTAACTAGATTCTTCTCACAATCTATGTAAATATATATTCTTGAAGCTTCTAAGTAAATTGGGCAGAAGGTTCCACAGGATATTTACACATTGTACAGTCTTATTTAATGTGCTGCTCTCCCATCTTCCCTGTTTTTCAGTATTTTGAATGTTCTTGTACTCTACAAAAGGGTAGGTTTTATTTTGCTTCTTCCCATTCTTTGCTTATTTCAAATCTTTCATAGCATTCACTCCTGCTTCTTTGCTCTCTAAGCTGCACATTCCCAGTATTTTCAGCCTCTGCCTACCCAAGGCTTATCATCTGCTATTGCCTTTGTGAAGCGCCAAATCAAGCTTGCTTCTGTACTCTCAACTATTTTGCAGATGTACTCAAGAAATGTTGCATCCCTCAGCGGATTCATTTTGGTCCTAAGATACAAATCTTGATATTACATGCTTCCTATAACAAACTTTTAGTACCTCTTCATACTAAATTATGGTAGCCTGGTCAGTTTCTTTCTCAGACACCAGTTTCTCCATCGCCGTGTAACTCATTTTAATGGCAGGACATCATCTGTTGACTTCATTTCTTTGAGAAGACAGGCACTGATGCAGATTAGTTATGGCTGTAGCTCTTAGTACAGAACTTGCGTTCACAAAATTTCTGAATGTTTTTCAAAGCTTAGGCCAGTTAGCTGAAAATTTCCTTTACAAACAAAAAAGGTGTGTGTTTCACAACAGCGACCATTCTGCAAAGTGCACTGAGCCAGCTCAGATGCTTACAATTGCAAGGATAAATCTTTTTCAATACTAAATTCTTAACAAAAGATTGTGTGGTGCAGGCAACATCATGTACAGAGGAAAAACTAGCCTTATTTATTTATTTATTTATTTTACTGTAACTGAGATAAATTTACTAAGTACCACCTGGTCCCTTTCTTACAAAAGAGTAGCCCTCTCTTTGTCCTCTCAAGTATGTGCTGAAGTAGCTTCTTTCAGCTTATTCTGTGCTTATTCTGTAACTTTCCTCTTAAAGGGGCTCTCAAAGTTTTCTGAGTCCCCACCAAGAGTAGATCGCTCCAGGAGCAATTCTTGCTTTCTTACCAGCTCCTTTGTTGCAGCATCAGGGGTCCAAATCTAGAAAAGAAGAATATTTGTAGTTAACTTAGGCATGACTGCTCTGACTGAAGCATTTAAAAAACAAAACAAACAAACAAACAACAACAACAACAAAACACAACAAAAAAAACCCCACCAAACTGTTAGCTAAAGAGAGTCATGCTGTAGCACTTGTTTCCATCCTGAGACACAGAAGAAAACTAGTGCAGAATTCCTGCAGATAGCACAGCATTTTTTAAATATAAGCAGAGTGCTCTCTCTCTTATTACTTCTCATCTGTAATATGCTGAGGGTTTAGCTCGGGGCAAATGGGAAGGGGGGGAAAGATGGCCCAAAGCTATTTCAAAAGGACAGACTCAGGCCCAAGGTTCTCATAGCAGAAAATAGTAATTAACCATAGAATCACTGGCAGTGTTGTCTTATTCCTGAGACCACTGCAGAAACTAGCATGAGTCAGAGTTGGGGAAATGGTAAACCAACATGAAACAGAAAAAACTTCTTGGTTAGTAATGGTATTCTTTTCCTTAAAAAGTATGTACGTACACGCACTTTGTGATCCACCATTTCCTTTTCTCAGTTGCTTACATGAACAAGTTCTAATGCAAAAATTATGCCTTCAGTATTTTAACTTTAGGGTGTAAATACTTAGTGGGCTGTGTTCCATGCAGTTCAGTACCTGTCACAAAGTAAGTCATCGTGTGATTGAGAGGGCAAGTTGGGCACTGGTGCTGGTCCCATACACAAGGATTCCTGCCTATTAAGTGCACTGCATGAATATTAAAATTCATCTCATGAACACAGTTGCATTTTATTCTAGGTCTACTTTGATCCTATTTTAAAACTTGATGTGAGCTTGACTTCCATGATAATTGTATGCATATAATACATATACACATGTGATATTTTAGTTCATTGTTGTTTTGTGATAATCTGTACCCTGTATCACATCATCTAGTTAAACATCAGTTCTGGGTTTGGTTCTACAGCAAGGCCTTGTACTTGTAGGTTATCATGCACAGAGGAAAAGTGAGTTAATAAAATCATAACTAGCTAGAAAACAAAAAGAACTCATCTTCGATTGAGCCATGTTAGGAATCATTTACTTTCAAGCAATATTTCTCTCCCTGAATGAAGCCACTCCTGTGTTCCTGCATTTTAGTAACTAAAGGAGGAGGAGAGAGCAGACAAAATCTAGAACAAACCTACTGGAATCAACTGGGACTCCTTCTATAACATCTTCACTAAAGGTGTAAACCTTTGTCTCTTTTTGCTTTCAATTTTGTTGAAACGTCAAGATTTCTAATAATCTATTCTGAAATGTATAATGAGAGAGAGAGGTCAGCTTCTGAAAACATGACTGGAGTATGTAGTACTGGCTCTGAGCAGCAGGTCATGAGAAATGCTGTGTGCTTTGCTACTGCATTTTGACACTGGGTCAGTCTCTTTGCTGGTATAATTGGTCCACCTTCAATTAATTAGCAGTTACAAAACTCTACATACCGACTTCCAAAGAATGTGATTAATCTACCTTTGACATAAAACTATACTTATGGTTTGCTACTGTACATACTTTTCTGGGTTTGAATGCAATGTCATCTTTCTTAGTAGCACCACTGCTTATCAGAGAGTTCAGATAAACAACACTGTCCTGTGCTGGTTTCTCAAGGTGGGGTTTTTCTACAGGTGGCAGAGATGTATGTGATGTCTGGAAGAAAAGAGGTTAATCAGTTAAATATGTTACTTCTGGAAACAAAGCATGCATCCAATGTCTTCTGTTACTTATTACTTGTTTTACCATCCATTCGCAGGGTGTGTATTTTGTGTATTTGAATCTATTAAGTATCATTTGTTTTTCTTAAAGATTTTTTTTTTTGTTCTTTTAATATCAAATTTGTGAGGGGAAGCCCTTTAAAAAGGAAGAGGTGACTCTCCTTTCTGGACTTTAAAGCATTAGCTGCCTTTCTAAACTCCCTAGACAATTGCCTTGTATTGCTGGTGTTCTGATACTGCTCTGGGTGATGAATAACTAAGCACCTATGGCTGTCACCCTCCTTTCTATGAAAGTCTCATACTATCTCTCAGAAACTGTCATTATCTTCAAAAGGCGTAAATGAGCACTTGGCTACTGTGACATATGGGGTGGGACTGATGAAGCAGACTTCCAGCAGTGCAGATACAGTTGTATTTTCTTTCTGAATAGAATCCTAGGTCTGATTAGCAAGAAGCACTGGTGAATTAGAAAGACCTCATCCACAATAGAACAACCAGAATGTGATCTCTGAGGCTTATGTCAGCATGGGTAGTTCAGAAACAGCAAGGTTCTCAAGGCTCTAGAAGGTCACAGAAAATATTCAGAAGTACAACAGCTCAACAGATCGGTGTGGACTTTAAGGAAATAGGACTCTGCTGAACAGTGGAAAAGGAAGGACAGTGGACAAACTGGGAAAGCAGAAGTCAACAAGCATGATCACTTCAACTTGTTCAATTAGCAGAGCAAAAAGACTCTCCTACTGTCTAGAAGAGCTGATCCTGTCTTATCCTGTGAAGAAGCACGTGCTTCTGTTGAGAAATTGTGATTACCAATGACTCAGCATTTGCAATATCATAGTGGAATGATCGTGATCTTCAGGAGATAGGAAAGAAGAGGAAAAGCTGTGCCCCATCAGTGATAAAGGACAGAGTTCTGGAATTAGGGAAGGCATAAGATTCATAAATTATGAAGCCACAGATTTGATCGTTGGTCAAAAAGAGCTGGCAAAAATATGTGCTGGCTTCTGAAAATACCCTAACAAAGCTGCATGCTTATGGAGAGTTGAATAGCAAATAAATGAAAGAAATAAGCACTCTAGCTATTAACAAATCAGTTCTTTGGCACCATTTCTCATACCTCTTTTTTCACATCTTGTACTTCTGCAGGAGTTTGTGTAGAAGGCATCTTTGGCTTTGCAACATTTCCTTTCTCTGCTCCTTTTTTCTCTGGCAAATTGTCCAGTTTATTTTGAAGCAGGTCAATTATTCTAGAATCTGCAAATACCTTAGCAATATCAAGAGCATTTTTTCCTGTATTTAAAAATAAACACCTGTGTAAGCCATGAAAATATTTCCTGGCACTTCTTATTGCAATTGGATAATGGTGCTACAGTCAACATAATTTAATTAGGCATCTGCTTTATCAGCCATTCAGCATGCCAGCAACCTGGCTGCTGCTGGTGTGAGGGTTGGCAGTCATCAGCACTGCTTGCAAAAATAAGGGCTTGCAGAAATGAGCCCTGAGACAAGATATTGCAGGACTTCTTGGATGTGGTTTCTTTGCTCTTAATGTCTTGACATTTGCAGCTTAATATACTGGTCTTTCAGGTTGTAACTTTGAGCTTTGAGAGCATTTAGCACTCCAAAATGGCTAGCACAAGTTCTTGTATGTATCTGCACCATTCAGTGATTGCTCTGCAGCTGGAAAGGAGTTGAGGGAAAAGTCCCATGGCACAAACAGGACTGAATCAACTGCCACCCACATATATAGAGAGAATTTCATGGTAACAGGAATGCAGAATACACAGCACTTCTATAAGCAGAGCTTCACCTTCTAGGAAGAAAAATCTCATATAGCAATGTTCCTTCCTACATTATAGCAAGGATTTAAAATGTGATATTAACAGTTTAAATCACTCTTAAAATGGAGAAAGTAATACTAATTGAAGGATCTGCAATGAGGAAGTAACACTTGATTATCAGTTCAGATTTGTTTGTTTTTTTTTTTTTTTTTAAGTCACTTCTATTCTCATGGAGTAGTATTTACAACATAAGCAGCAAGAAAATCTTTAAGCAGTGTTGCTTGTGCATACAAAATAATAAGCGATTTAAACAAGTGGCAGAATACACACTGGCCAAAACAAAAATCTACTTTTTCATAAAATAATGCTAATACCTGGCTTTAAGGGGGGAAAAGAAATAATCTTATATCTCTGAATATAGCCTGGGAGGAACAGCTTTGCCAGGGATGTTTTCAGCCATGGTCTTCAGAGGAGTAGAAGAGGAGTTGTACTTATTAATCATGCAATTAGTTGTCTTGCTTTACTTTCTAGGGTTCCAGTAAGTTTTTATTCCTTACAAAACATGTATACCATTAAGTAAGGAGCCCTCTGGGGCTGATACTTACCGTTGCTGTTTGTTGTTTGGATATCAGCACCTGCATTGATTAAAAAATGTACTATGTCCAATCTACAAATTTCTATGGCTCTCATTAGCGGTGTTGCATTGCCTACTGCAGGTGCATCTATTGCTCCTCCAGCTTTTACCATCAGTTCAGCAATATCTAGGTGTCCATTATAGCAGGCATGATGGAGGGGAGTCCACATGAAATTGTCTGTTGCATTTACATCCGCCCTGCAAAAGAGTAAGAAATGCTGTGGCAGATGAATCCAGATACAGCTCTAAGTATAGTCAGTCTTAACTGCACACTGAATGACATAATTCATGTAAATAAGTCTTTTCATATTGCTACTGCTACTTTGAAACGCTTCTAGAATATGATATGTGGCATACTCTATTAATCTTAGTTATTGACATGTCCTGGCTAGTGATCGTGTTTCTCTCTAAGTTGAGATGGGGTCCTTTACAGGGAAGTTCTCACAAGTACAAAGAAAAACAGTTATTCCCATTTAGCCCACTTCTGTGATATGCTGATATTGCTCGTGTGCCAGCTTTAGTGGGGTTGGCCAGAGGCAGAAAGCTTCTGGGCCAAGAGCAGGTGCTTTGAAAGACATGGCAAACTTGCTTACTGTCCAATTGAAGAATGAGTTAGAGAAGATCTATCATAGAAAATCTGAGGATTTAAAACTTTTCCAGCTACTAGATCATTCTGCTCCCAGATCAGTAGCAACACATTCTGGAGGATGCAAGTGTTTTGGGGTAACATTTGCAATATGCTGCTTTAAAATGAAACTTTGAGAAAAGTGTTATCAGCCTTTGGCAATTGGCAGCCTTCAGAGGTATTCTCTGAATAGAGGGGGTGTGGAAACAAGAGCCACTAGTGCCTCTTTGTGGTGTTAAAAGGGAAAAAATACGGTTTCCCCATGTCATCTGTCATAGGCTGTTCTTTGTTTGCACCCAGATCTGTCTTCCATGGATGCCATGTGTGGGTTCAGAGGTGGGTCAAAGCCTCATGAAGGGTATCCCAAAAAACTTGAGTGCAATTATTTAATTTCTTCTGTGTGTAGGGCTGCTTAGAGGTACTGAATTGAACTGCCACTGTCTTCTTTAGGGACAAACAACTGATGTCAGCCTGAAAGACGCCGTAGGAGGGAGAAGGAAGCTGACTGCTTCCCCAGATAGCTTTTTTGCTTGTCCGATCATATTGTTAGTATTTAATTCTAGATCAAAAGAATGGACTAATGTATTTATTTCAGGTTTAACTGTTAAAGTTTTTCAGGATGGGAGTGACACAGTGCTGACATAAAATTCTTCAACATTTTCTCCTGATCAGAATTTGCCTTATTTCAGAGTCTTTCTGAAATAGGATAGAAAGTAGATAACACCAATTTATGTTTAACCTCAGTATTTTCTAAATGTTTTGTTTTCTGTTTGATATGCATTTGTAACACCATACTGAAAAGGTCATTAAAAGCTACTTAAACTCCCATTCCAAAACAAAAGCATCTGAATGTTCACATTGTTGAAAGATATAAAGCTAAATGCTGTCCTGAAAACCTTCCTATCCACTTTGTGATTTCTATCAATTTCAACTCTCAGAAATAAAACCATTTTTTTTAAACTAAATTTGTACCTTTTTAGATCTGAATATGATATGTGACTCCAGTGCTAGTAAAGTTTGATGAAAGCAATGGAAATGAATTTGCTAGATTAACATGATAACTCTTGCATCTTTATCTTTGGAAGTATACACATTTATACAGCTTTACATGCTGCAGGAACGTCAGTATAATTACCAAGGTGCATACATCTGCATGTGCTGTTAAGTCTTTACAGGAACTAGAGCAATGACTAGACCCACTTGTCCTTGGAAATGAACACTGGAGTGAATTCAAGCTATAGGAAGAGCAGAGAGCTAGTATAAACATCATTGTCTTTGAAAAATGTTCATGTAAACATTTATCACAATGGTGATAAAGGATGGCAGTTGGCTCACAAAAAAAAAGAGATTACACTATTACCCAAGTATGACTGAATCTCTCTTAAATTGCTTTAATTTTTAAGCTGTTAAGATTTTTCCCAGGTGTAGTCCCAGGCTAAAAATTGATGAAGCACTTCTGAATTGGGAACAGACTAAATAACAACAGGCACTTCTGGTGAAAATCCTACTGCTTCAGCTGCAGAGGCTGCAGGGAAGTGATTATTTGTAGGCTGCGTTCTCTCAAATCATTTGCATGCAAAGGCCTGACATGTAAATGCCTGACAGGGAATTCCAGGACTGCTTTTCGGTTCACCTAGGTATATGTCTTGATGATTTCAGACAACCTACTTGTGTCTGATTTCCAAAAATTCATTCATCTAATTTTGGCAGTTCAGTTTTGAGGATCTCAGAATCATAAGGGTTGGAAGAGGCCTCTGGAAATCAGCTGGTCCAACAGCCCTGCTTCAGCAAGTTCCACAGAGTAGATTTCACAGGAGCACTTCTGGCTGTTTTTTAAATATCTCCAGAGAAGGAGACACCACAACCGTTCTGGGCAGCTTGTTCCAGTGCTTCCTCACCCTCACAGTAAGGAAGTTTTTCTTCACGTTCATATAGTGTTTCCTGTGTTCCATTTGTCCCAAATGCACTGCTGGCGACATGGATATCAACAAACAACTAGATGGATTTTGTAGGTACTCTGCCTCTAACTGAAATGTCAATAATCCAGACTAAAAAAAAAATTAGAACTGGGTAACTTCTTAAGTGGTTTTATTTCCTCATTACTAAAATGTAAAAAACAAAAACAAAAACAACAAAAAAAAAACAACCAATAGACTAAACCTCTGCAACTCAGCATCTTACAGAACTAATTTTTATGCTAAACATTATGCAAATAAAAAAACAAACTATAGTCTGTAGTACCCAGCTATTTACTGCAAATTTATGCTCTCAAAATAGCAATTAAAAATTTTCCAGAATTCTTACCCCTTTTCCAGGAGATACTGCACAACATCTATGTTCCCACTTGTGCATGCAGTCATCAAAGGTGTTTTGTAATACTTATCTTTTATGTCTACTGGCACACCCTCCTCAAAAGCTTTCTGTAGAGATAGAATATCTCCTGCTCTGACCAGGAAGTTAATATTCATGTATATTTTCCTTGGTTCATCTGTGTACCAGGCACGGTCATCGTGCACAGGATGGGCAGATGGGTGGTCTTGGTTAATGTGGTAGCTATCAGCAGTGCTTTGAACAGCCTCAATCATGTATACAGGGATGCCATCTTCCCTAAGCTGACATGCACTCTTTGGAATAACACAAATTGGCATGGGGACAGCAATGCTCTTTTTGCCTCTTCGTTTCTTCCCTTTCTTTCCTTTCTTCCTTTTGGGTCCAAAGGATGTTATCAGACAGCTTTTCTGCAAGTATTTAAAACCTTTAAAAAATTCTTCGATGTTTATTCCTTCAGAGTCAGATTTTTCGTGTGCTTCAGCAATAGTTTGTATTTGTTCAGTGTCCACGAAGGAACACTGCTTCTGAATAACTGATATGAAATCATCTTTGGCTACAGTCCCATCTCCTTGGTCGACAGCCTCAAATGCCTGGAGGAGGGCAGTCTGGTGCTCTAAGGACCAATCATATAGCCTCAGTGCCCAGAGAGGGTTGTTTTCCTTAGCTTCAGGCTTGGACTGCTTTATAAAGTTCTTTTCAATTTTACGCAATTCTGTTGTTGCTGCTTTAAAACCTCCTTCCTTGGCAACGGCTCTCGGAGTCTTAGTTAACAAGTTTGTCCATGTAGGATCACAGCCTAAAAATATGAACACATTTCCATTGATAATGTATTTGAATTAATAATCACTAATAAGATAAGAAACTTATGTATGAAGCTGATTAGCAGAGGTCTACAACTTTCTACAGACTTAACTGTGAACAGCGATAATAAGTGGAATTATATCAGTGACCCCAGACTGGAAGGCTAACAGCATATCTATTTCTGTTTCCCACAGTGAGATTCATCAGACAACCCATGCTCTACTTCTTTGTCCATTATTGAGTACCTATTAAAAGACAAGTTCTGTGAGAATTTTACATTTTTACTTAAAGAAGCGAGCAAGTTTAAGAAGAAACTAAGATTAGAATGTCACTCACTCTTCTATATCCCACCCTTGCCATCTGGTGACAGACCACAAGCTAAGTGTTAGGATCACAAGAACAGAATGCAGGATTTTGCATGATCCTATGGGAAAAAAAGCTGAAATAATATGATCATCTAATTTAGAAAATGATCACAGCTGCTTTGGTGTATTCATAGGTGCTAAGCTTTCCTTGTGACTACACTGAGATTGGGTTGATTAATTCATCAGTGAGGCAAAACACAATTTTCTATTGAAAGTGTCAATATAAGTTATACAAACCCACGATCTTTCTGCAGGTTTCTTTGAGAAATGTTTTTTATCTCATCTTATCCCTGTTAGTAGATATAAATAATAATAGCCTATGTTTGGTACTTGTTAGTGAGAATTACATTTGCCACATGATACTGAAGAGCCAAATCCTTCATAAATGCCCAGGTGAAATCTTTTTTCAAGCACACAATAAACGTACAGTTGTACAGTTGTAAAGTAACTTCTTTTTAACGTACCTCTTTGTCCTATAAACTTGCAGCAATTTGCAAATCCTCCCTCTGCAGCATAATGGAGGGGTGTGTTACCATTCATGGCAATCAGTCCCAAGTCTCCATTATAAGCTGAAATAATCCTCAAGACCTAGAAGAACAAAGACGGTATCACCGGAAGACATCTGTGTTTCTTAGGATGGGAGAAGTATGCGAGTGATTTGCAAATAAAATGCAGTGTCATTTACTCCCAGTTTATACAGTGAATTTCCCTGCTGTGCCCGGCTGATCAGTGCACTCATTAAGCTTTAGCTCCCTATAGTACATGCCTTATTCAGGAAATAGAAACCCTATTCATTTGTAGATATCTAGGACAACATTTGCTCCTGCTAGCCTGCTGCAGGTGACTACCTTACAGTAACACTGTATGCAAAATCATGGTCTGCAGGATTCAAACTACATAATTTTATGTACTTTAAAGACCATACTTGAGACATAGTAGGGAAGAAACTGCCTAGCTGCAGATGTCTGTATCTGCCTTTCTTACAGTGGTAAGATCTCATCCATGTTATACAACTGTGACGTGATGCATGTTGAGGGAAATGAGTTCTCCAAATGAACTGTTCACATCAGACAGCCACCGCAACATTCACTCAGGGGTACAAAAAAAAGGTTCTCTAATTCTGAGATTCGTGGCTACTAATTATTATGCCTTGATCATCTGAGATACTGGACTTTAAAAACAAAACTAAAAACCCAAACAGCAATATTTAACACAGTGCAAGTTTACCTCAAAGAAGCCTCCTTTGGCTGCAAAATGTGCAGCATTGTGCCTTTCATTGTCAAATCGGTTAACATCACCTCCTCTCTCAAGTATACCACGCACCACCTCAAGAGCACCTTCTCTTGCTGCTTCCATTATGGCAGTGCGACCTGTAACCTGCCAAGTAGCAATAACACAATTCAGAATTTGTAGTGTATGCTAATTTAGGCTGGAAATATCCTCTGGTGTAATATGATCTGATTGTTGCGAGGCAGCATAAAACTGAATGACTTTTTAGATACTATTGAAAAAAAGAGACAAATCTAGTAACTTCAAAGATGTTTGGAAGCAAACTTCAGGCATCTAGTCTTAATGCTCCTAAGAGTAGTCAAATCCCAGTGACTCAAGAACATTAGTAACCAGAGTCACCCAAATAGTTGCACAAAAGAGAGAAAAAAGTTTCTAATATCTCATTATTACCTTGAATCCCCTTCAGTTTTTTCATGCTGCAGTGACATTTTTAGTGAACAGTACTTCAATCCTGAGAAGTTTGGGGCATATCCAGGCAAAATACGAATAAGTACTGCTCCACTGAAGTATAATGAGCCATGATTTTTAAGAGTTGACCCAGTTATACTTCCTTTTTTTTTTTTTTTTTTCAATATTTTTATTCTAATTTACAAAAATCTAACACAAGATACATGGTTCAAGCAAAAGACTTAAATATCTGCTCCTGAAAAAAAAAAAAAAAAAAAAGGATAATAAAATAAAGAAGGGAATAGATGCACACACAGAGTTATGCACTTGCCACTGCTGTGTTACTTTAATGTGAGGATTTATGGTCATATACTGCAGTCATCTGGTAGCTATTCTGTACTCCTGTATATGCATTCTTAGGTACTGAAATATTCATACTGGGTCTCTTGCATTGGGATTTGCTCCTCTTTCCAAGAAATTCAGACAGATTTCTTTAATATCATGAGCTTGCTCACAGGCTTGCAGAAATACAGGCTTCCCATCAGTAGTACAGTTGTTAATATCTGCACCATAATCCAGGGCAATTTGAGTGCAGTGATAGTGCCGTCTAGTAGGTAAAATACAGTAAAACAAAACACCTGCAAAGAAAAACAACAGTGATTATGGTGTAATGCCAAATGATAAGAGGGGTTATTTACACTGTAAACTTCACAACTGAATTGACAAACTCCTTCAACCAAGACCCATTAACATCTCTTAGGGCATGTAAATACAAAAAAAGAATTTTTATTTGAGGGCCTTTGAACTCAGGGAGTAAACCAGAACTGAATACGTGACTGCTCATAGCAGGATGCATAGGAAGTGCTGTGATGTAAGGGCCCAGATTGTTCAGGGAGAATAATTTTAATTCCTACCTGGTCACTAGCTTCTGTTGAGCTTTAAGAATTAACCTCAGCCAAGGTTTTTCTCCACAGATCTAACATAACATATACATCAAGTACATAACACAGAAAGGAGCCATTTTATGCTGGCTTAATGAGATTCCTTTTTACTTACCTTTTCCTTCATTATCAACAACAGTCATGTCTGCTTTAGTTTTTGCTAGTAATTCCAGAACCAAGCTATGGCCTAGCTCAGCTGCCTTCATTGCTGGAGTTCGTCCCATTTTGTCCTGAACATCAGGATGAGCTCCCTGCTGTAGCAAGAAACTGCACATGTCGATGTCGTTCTTAATGCAAGCCAAAGAAAGAGCACTGTGTCCATCCATAGGCTCGGTGAAATTGATGAGGTTTGGAAATCCATTCTGAATCAGCTTTTCTATTTGCTTCTTGTCCTTCTGGTGAACACACTGGAGAAGTTTGTAGATCTGTAAGTTTCGAAGTCTGTTATCTACTGGTAACATTCTGAAATGAGAAAAAATGGCTTCTTTCAAGGCAATGATTTCTGCATGGAACACACAGATGAAACTACTCTCATATGCTAGAAATTACAGGAATCAAACTATGTTCAAGGCATGGAAATAACTACTTATCTACTTGGCAGAGCACAGGGTTCCGTGTGAACATATAGAGACTACATAAACGCTGCACCTTGCAAATTGCTTTTTCTTGTTATGAAAATGTTCTAAAGAAGTCTCATTCAACATGAACTTAATGTTAAGATGTTAAGGAGTTGTTATAATCTGCAATTACTTGGAATCCCAAAGAGAGGTTGATTATCTGCCATTTTAGTACCATAAATAGAGATTTAAAAAAAATCACAAGACCCAGTTACAGGTCTTGCTAAAACACAAAATAGATACTGGCATCACTTTGTCTGTACCTGAACGCCTTCCTTCTTAGGTAGCTGATGCATGAGCTTTCTGCTGGGCTGTGACATAAGAGGGTAAACTGAATTTCTCTGTGGTAAATCCCTTGCAGAAAAAAGGTACAGTCTTGTAATGCAACAAATGCTTCTAGAGAAAACTGTGGTGCAGAACATCAGCTTCACATTTGCCTTGGTTATGATTTTTTTTTTAAGCTTTGTGTTCTCTGGTATCTGGACTCAGTTCTTGTGTATGGAGGAACAAGCAATGGTCAAGACCATTTCTGTTAAGTGAATAGGAAGCTTCCTATCAGCTTCAGCAAACCTTGGATCAACCTTTGCTCCAAAAATGACACGTATAGGACATGCAACAAAAAATGTGGAGGTGTAGTGTCCCTTTAGAGAACTTTTTCTTGGAGTGGAACCATGTAGCAACTTGCCTGGATGCTCTTGAGTGTTTTATGGATGTCCAAGAGGAGGTGAGTTTTAAGAAAGGTGAAGGACATGTAATTTCAATAGGCTTTTTGAGGCACTACCTCCCATTCTGTAAAGGAGGCCTGAAAGAAAGCTTCAAGAAAAATAGCATGAAGTGGTGCTATTCTTAGAAGAGGCTAATTTTCTAAAGCATTAAATTGGGCACTAAGATACTAGTAGTGTAATCTGTCCAGAATAGATTAGCTGCTCCCTCAGCTAGATAGCTTTCTCTAATTTCAATGTGACATTGCTTAAAATGCATTTGTTTGTTTGTTTGTTTGTTTGTTTCTGGTAATTTTGTACAACCCTCACTCTGATCATATATAAAATAATATCTTACAACACATAATGAACAGTAAATCATATCTGTCCCCTGAGCCATTACTGTGTAATGCTGATGTTCTGAGAAATGGAATAAATGAAGATATTTTATATTTTTTTCTGATAGGTGTTGCAACTATATCAGCACTCTAGTTCTAATGTTTAGAGTTCAGAAATAAGGCCCATTCTGGGTAGGGGGGAAACCAGAATACCCTGTGGTGTCCACCTTTCTGAGCAAAGTGCCCAGACAGGAAATTTGGCTGTGAGGAGCAGTAAGAAGGCACTACAGGGAAGGCTCTTACACTGCTTATGCCTCTGGAATTCAGGAAGAGAAGTACTTTTAAAAATGTCTAGTTGGAGTGCAGCTCTCTCATACTCTTGTTCTCTATCCCCCACTATGCCACTGTAGTTAAGGAATATTTGTTTCAGTCACAAAATGGGACTGACTTTTTCTTCTCACAGTATTTGCAAGCATTCAGAGAGCCCAGGCTTCTCTTATTGTAGCAATTTTTGAGCAATCAAAACAGTACCCAGTCGCTTCTTGTTATCCTGCACAACAGGAGGCTGTTTCCTAACCCCTGGCTTCACCCCTGAAGGGCGTAACAGCAGCTCTGCCGGAGCCCTGGCCAACATGGCTGGCTGGGAGCAAATGGGTGAGTGCCTCACTCTGATGGCTGGGGCACCCAATGGGCTCCAGGGCTCTTCTGCAGCCTGCCTTCCTGTCCTGGGGAGGCCAGGTGCGTTCTCCCACACCCAACCCAGTCTGCAGAGCTCCAAGGAAATCAATACTCATGTAGTCACGCTGTCTGGAGAACTGACAAGTCATTCTGTTTGAGCATTTTTCCACTGTTTCTTAGCACTTTCTGCACATGCCTGGATTTTGCACAGTGTTTATTCAGGAGCTCAATTAGGGCTAACATTTGTCTTCTCTTCCTTACTTTCCCCACCCCCCCAAATCTGCATAAGAAACTATATGCTCCTTGTAACGAGGTTAGTAAAGCTAAGGAGCACAGGAGCGCTCTTGTAGCTGGTAAAAATTTGTAGTAACATGCAATGAAGGCATGAATGGACATACTACCCAGCACGTATGCATTTGGATTTGCTTGATGGATTAGCCTTGAGACTCGTAGCAACGCTAGAGCCACGGCCTGCACAGCCATCTCGAGAAGTGCCCGAACACCAGCTATCCAGCAGCACTGCCCAGAATGCCGATTGGTGGGCAGGACAACACGCCTGCACACCAGCCTGAAGCTGAACTGTGCCTCGCACCTTGTACGAGCCAAGCTGCAAGAAAGCCGCCTGCTTCAAAGCGTTATAAACCAACAGTTTCCAGCAAAATCACCATAACATTTTAACGGCGGCAGATAATATTTCTTTGCAGCATCTCTTAAAAGTGACCGGGTCGAGTTGTGTTAGGAATTTGTGCAGTAAGGGAATGAAAGACGGGGGAATAGAAAAAGCTACCCAGCGTCCGGTGGAGTCGGCAAGAAGCGAGGTGGCCTTGTGTGCCGTGGCAATCCTCTCCGCTGCCGCGCCGCGCTCCCCTCAGCGCCGCGTCCCCCCGCGACAGCGCGCCGCCATCGCGCCGCCGCCTCCCGTAGCGACGGGCAACGCCGCGCGCCTCCCTTAGCGACGGCGGCGCGCGCTCGGAGTGGCGGGTGGCGGTTGGCGGCGCGCGGGCCGAGAGGCGGCCAGGTGAGGAACCGCGGAGGGAGCCTGGGCGGGGGATGGCGGGAGGAGGCATTGACCGAAGTGGAGAGATGAGGAGAAAAGCCGCGATAGCAGATCCCCGAGCGCCTGGGTAGCAGCGCGATGTATGTCAGGCACGTTAGGCTCGTGAGGCTCGAATTGAAGCCTAACTGCCAGTAGACCTGACGGAGGAAGAAGCGCAAGTAAGTATCCTCAGGAAAAATAGCACTAACAAACAGGGAACGGAGCACAGTGCTGTTTGAGGAATCTGCAGCGGGAGCCCCACTGCTGCTGGCTTCTTCCAAGATGAGTGTGCATCTCCTCCATACTCTGCCTTCAGTGCCTTCGGTGCCCCTGGGGATGCGGTGCGGATGTGGCACTGAAGGACATGGTTAGTGGGCATGGTGGGGGTGGGCTGGTGGTTGGACGTGATCTCAGTGGGCTTTTCCAACCTTAATGCCTCTATGATTCCACCTAATTTCAACCTTCAAGTGCCACTGGCCACCTGGCCCTGCATTCTGTTGTTGGGCCTGGCTGCATGCCTACCCAGGACGGGCTGTTGAGCTTTTTGCAGAACTGACCTCTAGCATTAGGAGCTTCAAGGCCGAACTCAATGTCTGATACGAAGTATGTTTTGTCAGGGGAGTGGTGGTACACAGCTGGATACGCGTCCAACAGAACACAAGGGCAGGCGATCCTCGCACAAGACTGTGTGGTGAGTCACAGAAATAGATAGAGGTACTTCTTAGCACAGAGCATTTCATTATTTTCCTTGCAAGGAGTGCTACTTGCACAATAGCTATTTCATGCTAGTGCCCTGTAGTGTGAGTTGGCTGAATTATTACTCTTGCACTTTGCTGTCTTGGTTGATTGTTTTCTATGGAGAATATATTGTCTCTAGGCCTGATGTGATGCAAAACCTAAATAGGTGCAGCAGTACTATGTAGGGACAGCCTCCGAGGAGCCTTCACAGTAACATGGATGAATGCAGTCTGAAGGCCATAGCAGAGAGGTTTTACCCTCCATGTTTGCCATGAGATAATCTGTAGTAAATTAGCTCCTAACTAGGACTAGTCCAAAGAACATTTGTTACTGAGGAGCATGTATATTTTCCCCTTGTTTCTCTCTCATAAACATTAACCTCAATCAGTCCTACAAGATACATGCCTCATCGTGATGGGTAAAGCCTTCATTACTGATGTGATCACTTTACAGCTCCAAAGCAGTCTAATTACACATGAAGAGATTTCAGTGATGAATAGCTGCTTCAGAGCATTTGAAATATAAAGACTATGCAGTTTTGTTTTGTACTAGAATGTGCCAGACTGACAGAGCTACATAGCCCCTGTACAGAACAAGTGGAATAATATAGCTGTCATCCTCCATAGAACGTTCTGGTGTAGCATTGTGCTGGCATTTAACTGCCGCTGTGGAAGCACAAGGGCAAATGGACATCCCACAACTGGCCTCTGGAGGGAGGCTGCTCTCTGCGAGGGCTTTCATGCTTGTTGGCACTAGGATCGTGCTCACAGCAGCGGAGCTGGGCTTGCTGATAACCTGACATCAGCAGGACGGTATGCCTGGGAGCTGCATGGTTTTGGCTTAAGCCTTTTACTGCACAAGTAATTGTTACTGTTTCTCATCTCTCGAGATTCTGACACTACTGCAAAAGATAACTGCAGCATAGTGCATTATGCCCAAAAGTCATTCAGATTTGCCAGCATGACACAAACGTACACATTTGGCTAGTTTGGAAGGTTGTCTGGACTGTTCTAGCCAGCTGAGAATTGCACTGAAGGAGCATGCAGTCACACCAGGGCAGCAAACTGAGGTGTTAATATTGCTAAGTCCCAGCCTGGCCCATTACACTGCAGTGCTGTGCAGCGCCCACAAGGCACATGCATAACTGATGCTGATGAGCACAGACACAGTGATAGTGACTGTGGAGTGACAGCTCTGCTACCTACCAGAGCAGCTTGTCACAGGGGCCTTTCTCAAACTGCACTGCTCAAGTTAGGCAACAAGACTAATTCTGGAAAGAGCAGTGATTTTCTGGAGATGTTTCCCAGGCTCCCTTCTCTTTCCTTTCCTTGATGACATTTTGTGTAGCTACTAATACTACTCAGATAAATGCGCAACTCACTAAACTTTTGATTTAGCCTATTTTTTGTCTTCATGCACTTTCTGTAATCACTTGCTGTCAAAAATAATGCTTGTTCATTCTGCTGATTAATATGTGCTCTTAGAAATAAGCCCTTGCATAAAAGAGAAAGACCAGGAAATAACTGATGGAAATGTTCAGTAAGAAAGCTCTGCAGTAACTGGTAAGCAGGAGGCATTCCTCACCTAACAGTGGCAAAGTATCAAAAGGGACAGTGGAGCAGCCTGGAAGTTGCCCACTTCCCAGTATGTGTTCCTCAGGTACTGCATGGGCCAGCAGGAGGGCTGGGTTTCTACAGTCAGGTGAGATTTCCAGTGACAATTAGGTGGGTAGGAATTTGAGTGGAGTGGACTACTCTGGATATCCTCAGACTTCGTCACAGACTTAGTTGGCAGTATTTGTTCTCTAAAAGCCTCTGTTACTGATACCGAAGGTTCTACACCCTGTAAGTCCCTGCGAAAAAGGAGTGCTGCACCCCTTTCATCACTGTTTCTTGTGAGAGTCTCTTTTCTATTAAGCCTTGGGTCTCTGAAGTTATTCCCTCTGATTTTTTTAGGTTTAATGCTATGCTGTGGAGTCCATGTAATGTATTGAGAGAATTCCAGATGACTTTCAGTGGGAGTTTGTCAGGCCTATTAATAAGTGAAGCTCTGATTCTTTCTTGATTAGTTCTTTATCTTCAGATCATAATATTAAAAAGCTAGGGGGTACAAAAGATAATCTTTTAGTAGCTCTTTTTCAGTTAGCTTTCACACTGACAAGTTAGGCAGCAGTGAAAATATAAACTGCTTTCACTTGTCCCATCTGTACTCATTCAGCCTGTCTCTGTACCCTGTGTGAAGTATGTGGTGCAAGTTCTTTGTTTGCAAGACAAAGAAATAAATGAGTGTTGCTCATCTGATGTTACATGAAGCTAATGAAATATTGATCACATGCTTCACGACATTCACAGCAAATAAAAGGAAATACTTATGTCGTCTGTGGTCTGTCACACAACTTTTCTGAAGGTGCTATCCCTCAGCAACACTGAGGTATTGCTGCAACATTTAGGAAGGCAAATAGAAGGTGAACATTAAATGGAAAGCAAAATTATTAAGGCAGAGACTGGAGAGTTGTGTGCATTCCGAGCCTGATGGAGAAACATCTGGATTTCCAAGCTGCCTGTTGAGTTCTGTGCTGCTTACTGTAAAGAAGGGTAATCTGCACAAAGAATGTTTAAGAGCATGAAACCCCTGTTCCAAAGCAGTGTGAGGCTACTGAAATCCCTAGGGTCATGCAGGGGGAATTCCTGTACAGGAAATCAATTGGTTCAGTAGAATAAACCTCGTTTCTGTTCCCTTGCTTGGCCTTACTCAGTTGTGGTTAAATGAGGAAAGCAGATGACAGCCATCTGGTAATCTTGCTGTTGACAGGCCTGGCTGGGAGTCCTGGCTTGTCCTCTTATCAGTGTGTCCTGCAGGGACAAGCTGAGTATTTGTGAAGAGAAAAGGAATGTTCCACAGTTGAGAAAAGATAGAGCAAGATTGCTGTTCTACCACTGAGTGCTACTGGGAGAGGATCTGCAGCAGTCAGTCTGTTTGCTCATCTCCCCCATGCTCTTGACTCAGACCAACAAATTACCCACTATGAAAGAGAATTTTTTCAGAAATTAGTCAAATCCAATAGGAAAGACTTCCCAGGTACAACTTGCAATTTATGGTTCAGACCAAAAATCTGACAATTACACAAAAACCTTTGGTTTGATATGGGAGACCTGGCACAGGGGAGGCTAATGCTTCATGCTGCTGCTCTGTATCTACCTTAGCTGGTCCCAATAATTCTGTGATCTTTGCTCCTGTGGGTAGAGGATTCTGAGCCACACCACAAGCAAATCACGTTTAAAACTCTGAATGTCTAAATAAGAAATCTTTTCCACAGCAGGTAGTGGGCAAATGCTAATGTTGCCAGTGTGCTCAATTTCTGGCATAGAAGTAGGCAGGCTACTAAGGTTTTCCTGTTCATGCTAATAGACATTTATTTTTTTTCAATCAGACCTTAATTCCTATAATAATAGCAAAAACTGTGCTTCATGCTTAATATGTTCTTTCAAGCTAAGAGTTGCTACTGCATACTGATACCTATCGCCTGGGTCTCAGCTCTCTGAACAAGTTTTGGGTTAATGCACTGATTAATCCAGACATTAGATAAATAGAGTTTATTAGAATTTAATATTCAGTTATAAATGAAACGTGCTACTTATTTTTCATTGTCCATACACATATGCTTTGTTACACATTTATCCATAACACCAGAAAAAGTACTGAGCTGTGGTTACCCAAGCTACTGTTTCCATTGGTACAAACACAACTTTATTACTCACGTAGCTCTTCCTAACTTTCTGAAGCCACTTATCTCCATTCAAAGTATTTCAAAGTCTGTTAGTCATGCCTAACTTTTCCATTAACCTCTTCCCATCACCTCTAATAAATTACTATTCAGGCTCCTACAAATAAGGTATTTTCACGTCTGTCATAATGATTTCAGATATGCAGTTGCCCTTTAGGATATGCTCCATTTCGTCTCTGTCATGTCTCTAACGCCATAATTTGGTACTGCATCAGGGAAAGCTGCATTACATTTTCTAGGCAATACCTAAAGCAGCATGAGTGGCCCTGTCTTTTTCCATGAGAGAAATACAATTGCTGGACTAATGTGTGATGTATTTCTCTGCGAACAAGTGACAGTTCTGAGTAAACAGACCCTCCAAAGTTTCTGTCAGTTAACTGATGTCATCATACAGTTTCTGGGGACACTACATGGAGCCCTTGCTTTGACAGTTTAACAAATTGCCGAGTCACTGAACAGCATCAAAGTCAGCTATGCAAGTTTTACTTTACTCAGTGCATAAGACAAAACAGAATCCATCACAACAGTTGGGAATAAAGCACATACAAACACCAGTGCTTTTTCTTTCAGCTTTGCTACCATGTAACGTGCCTTGGGTGCAGGAGACATGAGAGCATCTACCATTGCATCTACAACCTCATTGCCATTTGTGCTTCCTTTGCTAAGAATGTTGTTGAAAAAGTCTGCCCGCTCCTGAACGTACTCCTTATTGTAAACTGCCTTTTCCTCTTCACTGAGTTCATTCCAGATTTCTTCGGCGCTGACTGGTGGCTGAATTTTTGTAGATCGTGCATAATTTCCTGGCTGAATAATACAGACCTAAAAGCGAGATGTGATACTTATCAAAGTGCAGTCAGTCATTCTGAATTCAGTTAAATACCATATGCAGTAAAACAGATACAAAGCTCTTTGTGAACAGATTTCTTCCAGAAAATGCAGCTTTGTGGAAATTTCAACCTTGAAAACTTTACTGAAATCAAGTATATTCCCATGAAACAGTAGCCATTGCAGAGGTGCTTTGTTCTGACTTCCTCACTTCACTCTGATTGTTATGTGTTCATGCCTTCACAGAATGCAATACTGCATCCTTGCTTTGTATAGAATGCTTAGTGGCGTCAATGTTTTGAGGCAAAGTTATGAGGCAAATAATTTTGGTATAACTTTGATGTCTCCAAAGTGGAATGCTTGCAATTTTTCTCTCAGTGGCAAATCTTACAGTTGGTTTTCCCCTAGTAGGGAATAATAAAAAGCGATGGGTACATCGATACAAGTTGAGAAAAGGCCAGAGGTGCTACTGCAAAGGTCTCACTGAATTAGCAAATTTCCAGATTTCTGTGCACACCAATTTAAATTCAAAGTGTACAAACTTTTTGCTGCTCAGCCTGTTTACTTTGCATGCATTATTCTGCTGTTCTGCTGACTTCTGGGGAATTTCAGAGCAAGCTTAGCGCTTCCAATGGAAGCTTTTCCCAGAATACCTCAGCTAGCAGCTGGCTTGTTAAAACTGTCTGTAGATGTGCAGCACTCAAAACTCCATGGCATTTAACTGACCTGATTTCTAAAGACTGTTAACACAACGTGAAGAAAAATGGTGCTGAGCCATATGAAAGACTTGAGGATCTGACAAACATTCTTTGGAAATCCGTGTTAATTTGTAACCCTAATGCCCCCAATCTGCCATCCAGCTCATCTGCCAGGGGCTACCGCTGGTGCAGCAGCACTGCCACGTGCCAGCTTCTCAGCCTGCACAGCCACCAGTGCTCTGCAGCCTGCTGCTGGGGCTGTAGCAACCAGCAGGAAGGGGTGCAGGTAGCCTCCCTACTGCCCCAAGTCAGACTGTGTATCTGGGAATGTCTCATGCTGCCTTTGGTAGGTTTGCTGCAGGGCATCTTTCAGAACCCTTGCTTTAGATTCTTCAAAATTGCTTACTATTAGCCAAAGTAATGTCAGTAGTAACATTCACACATATATTTTAAAGAAAGGGTGTTCAAAAATTCATGTTTTGCAGCTATATGAAGTTGGTTAGGAGATATTAAACTTTTTCTTTTTTTTTTTTTTTTCTTCCCTCATTTTCTTTAGCCTTCTTTCTAAGTGGCAGACACACACTTTGTTTCCCGAAGGTAGCCTTTCCTGAAAGAACCAAAAAGGGAGTAGCAGAGCAGGAGAGAGGAGCACTGAGGCTTATCTTCTGCAGGCTCCCTGCAGGGTAGATTCTGAAGCAAAGGCCAACCAGCACCATGCATACACTGAGAAGCAGAGACATAATTCTCATAGATACTCTGGAAGTGTTTGTCAGCCTGATCTACTGTACTGTGTGCTGAGGTTATTCCAGGGGTGGGGGAACAGTAAAAATCCTAGAACCACTACAGCAGTTAACCTGTTAAACTAAGCTCTTCCATCCATTTCAGATTATCCTCGGCTAATCAGTTCAAATCCTCATCATGCTGTGTGGCATTAGGATGTGTGAAATCACTTGCATTTTATATTTATCCAAGAGGGGCAGCTGATAGAAGCATAGCTGTAATTTCTTCTAACATGAGCTTATGAACAGAGTATTTCAGCAGTAGAGTGACTCCAAGGAAAAAGCCCTGTGAAACTACTCCACAATCTAAACTTCAGGTCTGACCATCAGTGTTGCTTAGGTATAACACTAAGAGCACTCTTACAGCTTCTCTTAGGTCAAGAGAATAAAAAAATATTCTGCATGAATATTGCCTCGTGCAGAGTAGCTATTCCCAGATATTGGGAGGAGCTTTTAAGCACTGATGTAAGAGAGAGAAGAGCTCTTTTGGTAGGTGACAAGCCTTCATTTTTGATGCACAGCACTCAGACCTGGACTCTTTGCTCTTGCAGGTAAACCTGTGAAAGTTTCCATTGCTTTGCACTGTTAAAAGTTACTGTGAAAAGCATGGCACTGTTCAGGCAAACCTGTCTCAGAAAGTTTTTTCACTATAGAGAATGTAAAGAAAGGGTGCAAGTTGCAGCAGTGTCACAGAGATGGCTTGCTACTCCAGATCTTCTAAGGGCTGCAACCACCACCCAGCTCTGCTGCCTGCTATTATTTCTAGCCCACTGATTAGCCACAGAGGAGCCACCTCTCTCCAGGGAGAAGCTGTATCCATGGCTTCAGGGGAGCAGCTTTTATTGCCATCCCCTTTGTATGGATGTATGCAGTTTGCTTTGCATAAGATTAGACAGTATTTACCATTTGCCTGTTCTGCTTGCCTTGGCCACCCCCACTGTTGTCCTGTACTCTTTGTAGAAGCTACTTACTTCCTTACCTCTAAATGATGCATTTCAGCTCTGGAGGAAGTTTCAGGAGTGAATTTCCTCTCTTTCTCATACAAAAAACAGTGTTTGAAATAGCAGGAAGTTTCACAGAGCAGCTATTTATTACATCACTTACCTGGACGCCAAACTTCTTCATTTCCAGTCTTAGAGCATCACAGAATTTTTCAATAGCTGCCTTGGTCATAGAATAAATGCCATTTCCCAGAGTAAAATAGGCAATGATGCTGGACATGAAAACAATGCGTCCTGAAAAGAAAACAGAGGAAATAACAAAACTTGTCACTCTTGATCTTTAAAATAGAATTGATTGCCCAGGCCTTCTGAATTGCAAGTCAGGTAGTATTTAGCACGATGTTGTTTTACAGTGCAACATGTAAAAGCTGTGCTGTGTAAATGTGCAGCCCTAGCAAAACTGTGCACTCAGCTCTGTAAAGCAGGTACCATCATGCAAGCAGCTTCCTTCCATCTAGAGACACACTCTGGACCAGACAGGGGATGACAGATTCCCAATGTGCTGCTTATTCTGTTTGAGACAATTGACTCAGGTAACAGAAGATGAAAAAAGGTGGAAGCAAAGAATTCCCTTAAGATCTTTAGCCTGAAAAATAGTAATAAAAGACTATGCTAGTAATAGGAAAAGGACTGCAGAGGAGTGAAGTGAATGATTTTCTTTTTGGTGACTACGTGACTACTAATATCATTTATGGCTATGCGACTACTAATACCATTTATTCTGTGCTAATGATATTTCTGCACTGAGTTCTAGCTTAAAACTGTGCATATAAACCCATAATCAGATTGTACAGGGACAAGCTTTACCAGAAAAAGGTGACTTGACAAAAGTCTTACACAGTGCATTCTTACACAGCTGTGCTGTGATTTCCACAATCTGTGCTGCCTTTTTTTCCTTTTGTAACTCTCACCGAGTGCACGCAGGCATGCATTAAATGCACAGAGTTCTGATTTGAGGCTTTGGGCTGTGGTCTCATTCCACTGTTTATTTGTCAGCTTCCACCAGTCAGTCACACCGTATAGTAACAAATGTGTGTATGTAGTACATGTATGTGTAAAGATATATTCATATCAGAGGTGAGAGAGATAATGTCCTCATAGCTAGCAATTTAGAAAACATTCCATCCCTATTGCTGCCACAGATGCAGAGAACACCTGGGCACCAGATCAGACCAAATGGTACAGGCTTTTGGGCTATCAAAAGGGTATCATGGGAATGCAGTGAAATCTGCCATTCTGGATTACGTTCCCTGCTTTCCTACACAGTCAGTGTCTGGGTTAAGTCTCATATCCAGTAATGGCAGAATGACTATCAGCTTGCTGATCAAGGTGCTACGTCAGCTGGCCTCGCCATTGGGAAAAGTTATGTTGTTCCTCTCAGAATTAGATGCTCAGTACTTGTCTGAAGTGAAATACCCTCCTTTACGGTATTAATAATCTTGAAGCTCTTCTTGGACAGGTTGCTTATCCTGAAATGGCAGTAAACCTCTTTCACTGGGACACAGGTTCTGTGTAAGTGACTGTAGGATAACCTTTCCCTCCTTGGCCCACCAACTAAGCAATTTGGAGCATGCACCCAGAATGGGGGACACACTGTTTAAATTCTCTCTTTGCCTGAGGTAACTGAAACCCAGTTTTCCCAAGAGTTACCATGGAGCTTTAGAGCATCATAGAGTTCTAGCAGAACGCAGGACATCAGAGAAAGAAATCAATGTCTCCTTGTGTAATGGCAATGTAACACATTTGCTGTTTCTCACTGTATATGCAATAACACATTCTCTTACAAAAACTTCCAGCTTGCAGTACTTAAAGGTTGCTTTTTTGTTCCATCAAAATATCAGCCAAAGGCAACCAAGCAGGAAGAAGCAAAGTAGGAAAAAAGAGGATGCTATTATCTTACCAGCATTTTGTGTAACAGTGATATCTGGGGATTCCATACAAGAGCTAGCCCTACCATGCTTGATGCTATACACACACAGTAGAGGGAATCCTTGCATTAAAGAGCTTACAATTGAAACAGACAAGCTCAGCAAAGCGAGGAGAAAGGAAAAGAGTGTCTTTGTTTCCCAAATGCAGATGGAGAAGGAACAAACTGCAGAGCAATTGAGACATTCTGCAATGCTGTAGAGAGCTATTCAAGCCATTTCTCATCAGAAGCAAGGGCAAAGTGCATGCATGTGGAGGTTCATGCTACTGCATTTATCCCATTTGATACCATGCATCTCTGTATGGCACTTTTTTACATACGTGGGGTTTCTCTGCCCAGAATCATAGAGAAGATCTTGTCAGGCCTGAAACTGGAAGCTGGATGTCTCTAGTTCTCCTCTGTATGATCACTCTTCCTCTCCTAAATGCCACACAGTAAAACAGTAAAGCCTACATAAAAGAAGTTAAGCGGGAGTTTACTGGATCTTTGTCTAATGATTGTCAGTGCTTACAAAATGATGCCTGGGCTCCATAACCTACTGTAAGCATTTTTTTCACTCTGTTTTCAGCCAAATACTGAGATAATCCATTGTTTGTAAATAGTTTTGTTTTGTTGGGTTTTTTTGTTGTTGTTTGTTTTTTGTTTTTTGTTTTTTCCTTGTCTATTGCACAGACAGAATCGTCAAGGGTTCTTTTCCTCTTGGGATTTCACCATCTTCTTAGGATCATTCAGGCCACACAGAAGGAAGCTGTCATTTCAGTTCAGTGAAAGACAATTAAGGCTTCTTTTATAGGTGCTACATTACCTGATTATAGTAATCTAATTATTCTACAACTTCGAATAACAGTGGATTAGCATTACCCTTGTATTTCCTTAGCAGAGGAAGAAATGCCAGGGTTGTCCTGATGCTCCCAAGAAGATTCACATCCGCAAACTTCTCATATTTCTCCATTGACAGCCACCCCGTCTCACCAAATGTTGAAATTCCTGCATTGTTCACAAGCCCCCAAAAACCTGAAGGAGAGAAATACCTTAGCAAGCATCTTTTGCTGAAAAAAAAAAACACTCCATGGCAACCAAACAACACTAGTGAGCTGAGCCCTTGATAACAACTTTTCAGTTGCATTATCTTTTTGTCTTTCGCTTATAAATGTGGCAAGTTTTGTTTAATGAAGGGATGTAATTCTGCCCACTATCTGGACAATGTAAGTCTCAGTGCTATTTAATAATCACTCACTTTATAGTCTCCTTAAGTTATTTATGAATAACACGATCTGGGAGACTACTTATTACTGCCAATGCAGTGTTTCATGATATTTTAATTACTTGAATCCCACTGTGAGCAATGAGCAGCTTTGTGAAAATTACATTAAGCAGTCTAAAGGCTAAGGGGTAATATTTTCAAAGAGCCTGACTAATTTAGGAGCCTATGTGTTTTTCAGGATTTTGAGCATCAGTTCCTTCTGAAATCAGACACAGCTGGGCACACAGGCACAGCACTAGGTAAAATCTGTGGCTATGGTGTTTTCTGGATTTCTTACCCTTGGCCAGCTATATTCCCTCCTAACAATGGGACTCACTGTAGAAGCACAGCCCCCTAAAATGCAGTATGATTTCAGCATTTACAAGCAGATCTCTACAGGCAGCAGAGCTTGTTCTGACATAATAACACCAAGCCCTTTAGCCCAAAGCCACAGAACACTTCATGCAAGCATTGTGCAGCGCTCAGAACCTTGGTTGTTGGACATGCTTTTTGCTGAAGTGTGGCAGTGCTCGCAGATTAGAGCTGACATGCTGACTAAATGCTGATGAAACCATGCTGACTTGTTGTAGCCTACAGAGCACTTGTCTACAGATGTATGGTAAAGCAGTAAGTGAAAGCATTGCTGTTTCTGTTCTCAGACCCTAACTTAGAGTATCTCAAGGGTGACCAAGGGTACTTAACAAGTACTCAGGGTAAACTGAGAAATAACTAAGTTTGCAGCTTGTTTCTGCTGGCCTTTCTAGTTTTGCTGATGTATTTTTAAGAGATGTTATACATGTCTGTTTGAGGTAAATCATTGTATTCTGATGCCTGCTGCATGATCTCCAGGTGTAGGTTTCTGTCAAGGTAGGGGGTAGCAGTGCTTCTTCTATCCCGTGTACAGAGAGGGGATGTGTGATGCCTCCTGTACTCATGCTGGAATAGATGGGACCTTTGATTACCCTGATGGAAGTGCTGCAGAAACCCTTTTGTTCTTTTCTCTGTGAACTTCCCCAACAAAGCTACTGTGATGGTTTCATTGTATCTCAGTCCTTCCACTGCTCTGCCAGGAACTGCTAATATAGGACTTCATTCACAGAAGAAGTTAAAGCTGAAATAGACAATTTTTAGAATTACTTTGGAAAGCAGAGCTCTGTGAGCATTTCTAATACATATATTCTGTTGTGCTACATAATGCAACTTGGTGCTTAAAGAAACAAAGTTCTTTCAGTCAATGTCTCATTTGCAGAGCAAAGCACTCAAAATCAGTAATTTACCACATAGAACTTAAATTCTGTCCTCCAAGGTGAATAGACCATCATGTAGGGGTCCATAACACAGCAGGCCTTGACACTGGACCTCTCTCATGACCATAGATACAGACTGTCTTCTGTCATACTCAATGTGCCTGTCCTTTGCATTGTCCCAGATGTTGGTAGGACAGAGGAGAGGAAATGGACCAAAAAATTAGCCCCTCAAATTTAGCATCCCACATATCCTTCTTTTCCTTGCTGCTGCTCTGTTGTCCCAGATCTTTCCATTATTCTGTGGCTTGACTTCCCTTTCTTAAATGGAATTAACCCCATGGGACTGGCTTCCTTGTGAAATGTTTCGCTGGATTAGAGTCCTTTAAGAGCTAACTGTCAACATTTGTATACTTGCATGTGATCTGATCTGCAGATGGGCTGAGTAGCTGCATACTCCATCTGGTTAGGCTGCAGGTCTCTCTACTCAGGTTTATTTTTAAAGAAGCACAAGCCAAACTGAAGTCTGACATCACTGCAAAAGCTATTCCTTGATCTTTTCTAATTGAAACAAAAATGTCATTTTTGCTTTTGCCACTGCATCCAGCACAGCACAGCAAGAACACTTGCTCCATCCACGTACCCCAGAATTCATGAGGTCTTCAGAAATACAGCCGTTGGACTTGAAGCGATTCATTTTCTTTCTCTAAATTATGAAATACAGAATTTAATTTGCAAGGTAAAGGTTTTCTCTTCAGCTGTTTGCCAGCTTTTCCTCCTGCACTTCAGGTGGTTTGTGGTAAGGCTAGCCCATGTGTGCAAACATGCAGAGTTTCTAGAATAAGAGCTCCTTCTTGCTTTTCAGTGGCCAGATCAAAGTCAAGGGAAAAAAAATTGCTTGAGTTAAACTGAAACAGACTCTTTTGAGGAAAAGATTAAGTAGAATATAAAAAAAGACTGCTCAGAGTCAGCTCAAAGTATTTTATTTGCCCTCAAGTGAAACATACTGTTGCTCAGCAGAACATTCTGACATCTCCAAATGGGAGAATTTCTGAAGCATTCTACAAATCTTCTTGCCACTTCTTTTGGTTGAATCAATTTGCCAAATGCTACCCAAATAATGAGCAGTTTGTTATAGCCAAATACCACTTTCTTTCAAAACAATGAAAGAATGAAAAACATGAAAAACAATAGCTTTGCAATCAGGTTGCTGGAATCAACTTTCATCTTCCTTTCCTGAAACACGTGAGGTAAGAATTAATGCAATAAGCCTGCATGCAAAATACTTTGTACATTTGTTTAGACAAATGCAGCTCAGGGAACCTGAGAAATACAGTCTTAGGAGAGAAGTCTCCAAGAACCCTCCAGTGGCACCAATGGCTGGGCTCCTCTCGCCTGTTCCTGGGTGCCTGATTCTGTATAGGGTTTCCCAAGTACAGCATGTCACATGCAGATAACAATCTGCTGGATCCTACACACGGAAGGGATCCCCAGTAGCAGTTTTCAGCACAGAATCAGACATGATTACAAAACTAGGGTCTAGCCAGATGCAGAGTACTTCCCGTGCTCAACAACAGGATTCCTGGGGAAAATCCAGGGGCTGTCTGCAATACAGAAACACAGTGGCCATAAGAAGCTCTGGGAAGATCTGTTGAAAGATTTCTGATCAGAATGGCAATGGCACGGTCCTTGGTAGAACTCGATGCGAATCTCTGATATCCAGAGCCGGTCAGTTCACTGCTTCCTTGAAGGACAGGGCACAAATGAGATTAAACAAAACAGCTGAAGGAGAGACATCACATTGCCTCAGAGTCCATGCACAAACATGTCAAAAAAAAAGCAGCTGATGATTTGATCTGGAGGAAAAATTGCTCAGACTGTTATAACAGAACTCAGTTCGGGGCACAGTTTAGGAAGAGGAGTGTGAGACTATACTACAGCAGGCAGGAGAGAAATAAACTGGCAAGCAGAAAGAGATCTTTGCTGATCTCTGCTTTAAGAAAATGCATTCTGAGGACAAAGATTAAGAGAGATAGCAGAGGATGTAAAGAATCACTTTAGGAAACCTAATTTAAGATTAGTGAGGCTTTCAGGAGGACATTGGCTCTCAAATAACATCCCAGATAATTACTGATCAAAGCATGTTGGCCAAAAGCACGTATCTAAAGTCTGTATTTAGACCCAAAAGATACCTGATATTCTTTCCAGAAACTCTTCTTGAAGTTTTCTTCCTGTTCAAGTCAGTCAAGCTATGTGTTCACAAAACACACTTTTCTGTCTGTGTTCGCATGTCTATGAAAGCACCCACACAGAGAAGATACCTAAATTCAACCAAATTTTCAAAACTCAAATGTGTGTTTTTGATTTCACTGATCTTTGGAGTTTCTTATTTAAATTGGGACTCTGCAAAAATGGCAGGATCTTTCCTGAAGGATCCCAATAATAAAGGAAACTAGCCAAATGGACTAGAGTGTGATGCCAGCTTCCCACTGAAAAATGCAGAGAGGGAGCAAACCAGTCTGCTTGAGGGAAATGTAGGGTGTCCATCGTAACAGGTCAACTGAGAGTCTTGAGTTTCAGATTCATACCTTCTAGAGTCACCATCCATTCCTCCAAATGTCATGCTGTGGTTGTCTTCATAGTGAGAATAAATCTACTTGTGTATGATGTCTGGGCTAAACTATGGTACCAGGGGCATACTGCAAGGACTCTACAAACAGGAAATCTTAGTTTGTGGAGGATAGTGTATGATAACCTAGTAGGGAGAGGTAGTACCAAAATGAATATCCTTCTCATCAACAATGCCATCTACTCAGAACAGGAAAATCAGGTTTTGAAAAGAAGAAAATTAAAAAAAAAAATACTGGTGTTTCTGTAGGTACTGGGAGAGTTAGCAAACCATCAAACTGTTTAACTGCTTTCTCACTGTTTTGGTACGTCTCCTAAAGTTTTAGTTGGAAATGGATTGCATTAAACCTAGAGGTAGATGAAGTTATTCCTTTCTGAGCATTTTTGAATGATACGGGAGTATTTTAGTGATCTAAACATAGATCCTAGCATGCCAATGTGACATATTTAAAATCTTTTTTGCTTGAACAGGACTGACTGTAGTAAAGAAAAGAGAGGGAACAGTCCCTAAACAAATCCTAGTGACTCTGGGGACAAAGGCTTCTCTCTCAGTTTCTACAGGGATTCTTTGAGTAGAATTACCCCAGGCTGGGGAAGGCAGAGGCAGCAGAGTTCAGCAGGATTTACAAGCTAGAAGGTATACAGAGCACTTCCAGTAACTGTTCTAAAGGTGAATGCTTTCATAGCTTTTAAAATAAGCTAATCTAGGTTTCACTGTTGTTGTAAATCACACTGATTTACCTTCAGCACCACTCACTACATTTCTGCATCTGTTGGTACAGTTTGTGCAAAAACAAAAAGCAGGTTTTTTTTTGCTGACAGATGCCTATTTAAGACAGTCTACTGGACTCACCATCTACTCTTTGTTCTCCCTCCTGCAAATACTTGACACATACTTGATTTTCAGCATGGTTAGTCTCATGCTGCAGGCCCCTAGATGCTCCACGATCCACTAGGGAAAACTCACTGCACAGTTCTTTCTCCAGTGGGACATTAAGGCACACCCTTTGCTGCTCACCCTTTGGGAACCGCTGGGCAGCAGGTGAAGTGTTCACAGCAGCACATTTTTCTCTCTTTCTAGGTAATTTCAGAACATAAATGAAATGGTTCAGAGTTCTCTTTACAGTGCAAAAAAAACCAACAATCCACATTAAAAACAATCTTTGGCCCGAATGTAAATAAATTATTGTCTTTATCAAATAAAATGGTTCACTTAAGAGTTAACCTTCAGCTGAACTGTTACACTGAAACTACTTTTATAAACTACCAAAGGAAATATATTTATTTTTAGAGGTGCCAAGAAGGAACACTCCTTCTGAAGTATTTTGCACAAGACTCTATATAAGTAGTGTGTCCTCATAGTTTCATTACACTGGAGATAAAAATATTTTATAATTGTATTTTATAAATTATGAAGACAGCTTGTGGCATTTGCTCCATTAACACCAGGTATTAAAACATCTCCTTTGCTCCTTCTTGTTTAATAAATGTAGGAAGATTACTTGATAGTTGGGAGTTTTCCCAAATAGCATGTTCTATCTGCTCCTATGAAATTACATTTTCTTTTTTGCCTTTGCAACACAACCCTTAAGCTGCTGCAGCCCAAAAGCAACAGAAAAATATGTCATGAATTCTGTGCTTTGTGTATACATGCCCAGTGCTGCATTTTGGGTCTAAGGGCCCAGCTGAAAAGCCCTCTCTGCATACGCAGCGCACAGTATCTGTATTTCAACACCAACTGTGCTCAAGTGTCCCCTTCCGCAAGAAGTGGTGAGAAATGCCTCGATCTGAAGGCATGTCCACATGCCTACAAGCAGCAGGGGTAACCAGTAAGTTCATGCTGAGCTGCAGACTCAGGACTCTGCATGTCTGCATGAAGACGACCGCCGCATGAACCACCAGAATTACAGGATAAATTAACTTATCTGTAACCCAGAGTTTCAGGTGACCCAGTCCTTGTGCCCCATCTGGCCTGTAAGAGCTTTTGTGGGTCATCTGTGATGTGCCTGCAGCTTGGGAAAGAGCCTGAGAGAGGAAGGCTCTGCCTCTTAATCAGATAAGGTCAAGATCAACCATAAATACATGGACTTAATGAACAGCACTGAGGCTTTTTCTTACTTCACTTCCCATTTCATCCCCTTCCCAAGGTGCTAATGAATGAGGCAGACAAAGGTCTCGTATGTGAAGCTACTTCTGCATGCTTTACTCCCTGCTATGAGCAAGAACTGTCGGTCTGTAACTGAGGGAGTCGTTTGAGATGAGGATGTGTGTGCTGAGCCACGTGCATCCCTCAGCAGTACACTGGCTTCTTCTGCCTGGCAGCCCTAACTATGAAAAAATGTAAATGTGGCCCTTCTGCTCTGACCCTCACAGCTTTTGAGGTGATGAACTGGGCTTTATGCTGCCTGCAGTTACTGTGCCATTTAGACTCTGTCCATTTTCTTTGGAGCATGCTCCCTGTAGGGTGTACGACTGCCAGATTTCCTTCTAAATGACCCTTCTGTGAACTAGCTTATCAAACCCCAACTTGCACTGAGAGGCGACAGGCACAGCAGCTGCCTTCTGCATTTCTTTATTCCCTCTCTCACAAAACATGCTTAGAAATCTCTCCCTTCCTTGCTGCCTCCTGTGCATGCCCGCGTTTCGTTCCCAGCTCTGTCTGCAGACACCTGCAGAGGGTTTCCAGGCGCAGCCCCGCCGCCGGCGGTGTCCTCAGCTGCCGCACAAGGGGCGCGCACCCACCTCTCACCCACGTGTGCGTGCTTCGGTATCGTCTGGGGCTACGGCCTCCAGCTTGTGTGCCGCTTAACAAGGGGCACTGTTTTTTTTTTTAACGCAAACCGTTGTTATTACCGCTAGTAGTAACTGCAGTTAGCACCGCTCATAGCCGCGCTCCCCACAGCCGCTCGATGCCCTCCGGCCTGCCGCCCCTCCCGCCACCCGATGGAGGCCGCCCGCCGGCCACGGAGCGCGGCTCCGGCCGCTCCGCGCCGCCGCTCACCTCGCTCGGGCAGGTGGCTGAGCACCAGCTCCTTGGCGGCCAGCACGTCGCGTCCGCGGGTGACATCGAGCCGCAGGACGCGCATCCGCCCGGCATCCGCCGCCGCCTCCCGCTGCAGCCGCCGCGCCCCCTCCCCGCCGGGGCAGAGGCAACCGGCGAACACGGTGAAGCCGAGGCGGTGCAGGCGCAGCGCCAGCAGGTGCCCGAAGCCGCTGTCGCAGCCGGTGATGAGCACGGCCCGGCCGGCCGGTTCCAGCGCGACCGCCTCCCGCCGCCAACGGCGCGCCAGCAGCAGCAGCAGCAGCGGCGGCAGCGGCAGCAGCAGCAGCAGCAGGAGAGGGGCCGCGGCCCACATGCCGCCCCGCCGCCGCGCCGTGCGGACCCGCGGAGCTGGAGGGCGGTGGCCGGCCCCCGCTACCCCTCCCCGGTGGCCACGGGCACCGCCCCTGCCGACCCGCGGCCCGGGGAAGCCCGGCGATTGGCGATGCGACCTGCTGAGCTGCGCGCCCGCCACCCGCCGCGGGAGGACGGCAAATTCCCCACCCTTGGCTTCCTGCTTGCTTTAAGGTAGCGCATTGCCCGAGTCAGGAGCGAGTTGGATTGTGGCGAGTGGTAACCTGGCTTGTCTCAGAAATAGTGCAGCCAGCAGCAGCGGGGAGGTAATTGTCCCTCTGTACTGCACCGGTGAGGCCACATCTTTAGTACTTTGTTCGGTTTGGGCCCCGCTCTGCATAGGAAGACACTGAGGCCCTGGAGCGTGTCCAGAGAAGGGGAGCTGTGAAGGGTCTGGAGCACAAGTCTTGTGGGGAGCAACTGAGGGAACTGGGGTTGTTCATTCTGGAGAAGAGGATGGACAGGGAAGACATTATTGCTCTCTACAACTGCCTGAAAGAAGGTTGTGGTGAGGTGTGGGTCAACCTCCTCTCCCAGGTAACAGTGATGGGGTGAGAGGTAATGGCCTTAAGTTGCACCAGAGGAGGTTCAGGTTGGATATTAGAGAAAATTTCTTCTTTGGAAAAGTGGTAGTGCATTGGAATAGGCTGTCCAGAGTGGTGGTGGAGTCACCATCCCTGGAGATGTTCAAGAAACTTAGGCACTGAGAGACACGGTTTTGTGGTCAGTGGTTGGACTAGATGATCCTAGAGGTCTTTTCCAATCTTAACAATACTGTGATTCTGTTAATCCCAGAGCAAAGCTACCATGGACAGCTCTGCTTCTCCCCTTGATTTCCATCACTGCAGAAGACTTTGGTCATAGGTCATGAAATGAAAGCATCTTGAGTATCTCAAGATCCATGAGATGGGAATTTTTAATCCATTTTCTGTATTATGCTATAGCTATTATCTTAAATGGCCCATGTCTGTGCCTGCTATGCTGTGTCAGGTGCCTGTAGGTACTTCTTGGTGGAGTCTCTGTTTCTGTTTTCTGCAGGCTGAAAGGACAGTTATACACTGCTGAACAAAGGTCTCTGAGTACTGACTATGGGAGTCATTTGATTAAGCAGTGGTTTCTCTGCTCTTTCTTTCATCTGAGAAAGTCTCCAAGCAGCTGGTGGAAGGGGCGGACTCCTGTGACATGGTGGAAATGACATGGTGGAAAGAACCAGATGCCTTCATTAATTGTGATCTAAGTTGGTGTGTAAAACTACAAAGGAGGCAGAGTCGTTCTTTGATATATAGACACTAACAGAAGAATGACTGGGCTTAACACACATACAGATGTTCCTATATATTTGCCTGATTTGGATCCCTGTAGCTCCAAAATTAGCTTTGTCCATGTTTAGTAGTTTGTCTTAAGCAGGCCCTGTATCTGGCTGTAACTGAGGTGTTCTAGAGTTGGTAGAGCTGTTCTCAAGTGTCCAAAAACAGCACTTGTCCCTGGAATCAGCTATTTTATGTTTGTGTTGGGATCTCTTTGCACTAATATAGAGTGTTTTAATGACACATTCTAAGGAGAAAAGGAATAATTATTGTTTAAATCTCTTTTCCATGGGCCGCACCATTCATGTTTCTTTATTCTTGTCAGCTGTTAATCTGCATATATTTGCTTAGACTTTAAATTGTTCTGTGTGCTCTCTTCTGCACTGTTCAAGTCCCCAGTAGGCATTGCATAATAGGACTTAGAGCCTCAAGTGTCTCGGAAAGCCACAAGGAAGGGGGTGGAATGGTTAAACTCAAGATGTCTAGATACCATCCTCAGTGATGCTGATAGTGCTCCAGCACACTAGGAGATGCTGCCCTTTTTTAGCTTTCAGAAAATCACTTGTTCTTCCATAACTCTGAGTCACAAAGCATTGTTTTTACATTAAAGAAATATTATGCAACCCTCAAAATCATGAGAGTTGATAACCATCTGTCCTCCTGCCAGTTTCCCTGTCTGGTTCCCTGCAGCATAAAAAGATGGAGAGGTGTTCCAGATTCACCTCCTCTGTGCCTCCTACTCAGCTCTCTTTTGCATCTGCCAGCCTCTGCTCTCACAGCTTTCTTGTCCTGCTAGTAACACAAAGATCACAGGCAATGCCAAAAGCAATCTGCTGGAGAATAAAAGGTAACCCTACTAACCCCTCAATTTTATTCTACTTCTATTCCAAATAAATTTCAAAAGATATTAAAAAGGTGGCATCCAAATATGACATGATCTTATCTGAGAACAGGAGCAGTCAGAATAAATATCAGAGCAACAGAATAATTTAGCTTGAGACTTGTGGGTTAGAACTGTAAGAAGCTATCCTTCACATTTAGAAACAACATCTTGAATGCATAGTCCAGTAAATGTGGGCAAGTTTACGTACGGATCATTGGTGGTGGAGTTTCACTATTTGTTGGAACGCTTTCTCTCTGGATGTATATTATTCTATTCCTAACTCAAAATGCATGTACTCCACATATATTTGCACGTATGTTAATATTCAGACTGAATTAATAACTCTGTGTTTTGTATGGTATCTGAAATCCCCTTTCTTTCTTTTAAAACTCATTTAAAATAAGAACTGTATGATTTCATATTCTTCTTCATACGTCCTGTCTCATCCGTAACACAGAGTGGTTGTAGTTTTCCTGCAGCAAGTTAAAGAAAGATCAGGATACTGAAGGAGAAGGTGGGGAAGCGGAAGATGCTTAGAGGCTGGTTACTGGTCAGAGCCTGAACAAGCTGCACTGAGAACACACCCAGCTGTCTACCTGGGAACAGCTACTTGTTAATTTGTGCCTAAAGATTTCCTCTAGGGCACCCCGCAAGTTTCACAGTTAGTGTGGTTAGAGAACTGAACAGGAAGCTTCCCAGGGACATCCAAATCCTTCTTGTGTGGCTAAAGGGACTTCTAGATATTCCAAAGTGCTGCGCATCACAGTGTTTGCCCTTCTTCCACATCTTGCAAAATCATACTACTTTCACAAGTGCCTAACTGTGGATTAAGGCCTTTATGATTAGTTTCTTCTGGAAAAAGTACTGCTCAGACATTACTAACTCTATTACTTATTGTTCTGAAACAAATCAGATGGCAAAAAAACAATACTGCAGTTTTTATGTTGAGCAGGAGAGTGTTGTGGTGTTGTCCTTACCTGCAGAACACAGATGGAATTTCTAATGGGCTGTCAGTTTGTTCTCATGCAATGGTTGGAACAGAAAATGGTGAAAGAAAGCTGGGATGGACTGTGTTCCTCTGGTGTACCCCAGGACTTCCAGCTTCATCTTCAGGGGTGGAGGAGCTGTGCTTTACCGAGTTCCTGTGCAAAGTGTCGGTGGCTGGAGGAAACAGAGCTTGCTAGAGAACATAGAAGTAATATGTGCAGCTCTCTGTTCACTCTAACTCTGGAAGAAAGGCAGACATGAAGAAAGGGACAGTGCCCTTCGTACCCCACTTTTTGCCTATTCTTGTGTCTACTAACCTCTGTTTATTTTACTCTCTCGTTCTAGTTTCTTCAGCCCTGTCTCATTCCAATTATAGGAGGTAGGGAGAGAAAGTTCTTTAATATTTGTGTACCCAATGGCAAGATTAAGACACAGCAAGTCAGACATTTGCCTGACCAGTTTATTACAAACCTAGTCACTAAGGAAGATGGGGAAGGGAAGATGGGTGATAGAAAAGAAAGAGGAAATAAAAGCAAGGAGTCTTTGTAGAAAGCAAGAGGGAGAGAGTCAGCACTGGGATTCCAGCATTGCTCGTAGTTTAGATGTTGATCTTCACTAGTGATGGGTTGGTGGAGGTTGTGTTGTTCAGTTGACAACCACTGGCAACAGTACAAACTTTGTAAGTCCAAAGTGGTCGAGTCAGCTCCTTTTGGAGCGTCAGCTTCTGGCTTTTGGATCTCAGCAGGAACTCCTTTGTTCCCATCTTCCAGTCCTTGCAAACTTAAATCAGCAGAAGAGAGGAAGCAAGGAGATGCCAAATTGTATCCTGTCTTCACAGGATACAGTGGTATCATCTCCCAGTCTCCCACATCAAGCTGGAGTTGTTTGCTCTCAGGCCAAGTCCTCAGTCAATTAACCCTCCTGCGCACTTCCTTTTGTAGGCATACATCTTCAAAGAAATGCTTTCAAATGTAAAATTGTCCACAAAGTTATGTTGATCACCACGGGTGATATCCACCACTTGCCTCCTTGATAAGTCAGAGCCTTATTGCAAAAAATGCCTCAGAAAGTGAGCTTGGAGTCAAAAAAAAGAAGGGTTCAGACAAACTCCCCCTTTGTTTCCCTCTCTTCTCAGTCGTTGCAAATTGGAGCTGACTCAAGATCTGCCATCTGTCATGCTCAGTGGTACCCACTCTCAGCGGTGGGTAGAAGGAGTAATGATATTTGATGTCTTTCTTACAGCCTTTCTCCAGTGTTGTGTGGAATTCATTATTATTTTTCCTTTCTGAAGCAAATACGCCTCTGATGCCTCTCCAGGTAACTGCAGAGCCACCTATGGTTTCACAGGAGGCACTGTCGGTGTGAAATGTCTCCATCACAGCTTCAGAAAAATGCTGAGAGTGTGACCAACTGCCTCCTAAAAGCTCCACGCAGCCAAGCAAGTCTACAAAATGGCAAACACGCTCCCCTCTTTTGTTTAACATTCTTATGCTTTTGAAGCTAATGTCATGATTTCCAGAGTGCAGGATCAGGATTTGTGGCCAGCAGGAGGTGACTGCAGTGCGCTCCTTTCATCATCAACGTGACACTTCTCTTTGCTATCATTGTGTCTTATTGGCTCAGAGTCCTGACCTTTTTGCTCATTTTCTGGCTGTTGTACAAGGAATAGCATAGCATGCTCTGGACAATAGCTAGGACTTCTTGATATTAATACCCTGAAAATAATGCTTATCTAACTGAAAGAAGCATTAAACTAATTAAGTCATTAACTCATCCTGACCATAA